AACATATATACATATGTATATATATATACTTATATATATATACTTATATATATATATATATATTATATACATAGACCATTCTGGACCTTGTACCTAGCCAGAAAAATGGGTTGTTGCTCCATATTGCTCCATATAACTAGCCAGAAAAATGGGTTGCCCCCAAAAAGTATGTGGCGATTTCCAATTTCAAGGATAGTTTGAGGGTCCAGGTACCCTTCCATGGAGTATTTTCAGAGGGAATTCCAAGGGAAGCCCACCATTGTTTGCTTTCACGACACCATCAGCATGTGCAGTACCCAGAAGGTCCCTTGGCGCCCTAGCAGGATCTAGCAGGATGGTGTTGGAGGATTTCAAAGAGGTAGGAAGAGCAAGATGATGTTTGTTTATTCTGCTGTTTTGTCTATGGTCATTCTTGACTGTCTAGGGTTCATACTCCCATATGGAGTCTATTTACTTGCACCTGTGTACGGTTGCGAGCAACATGCGCTAATTTGCCTATGGTCAATGTGGGAGCGGTCCGACGAATGTTCGCACAAAAAGTGGACTCACTAGTTTTCCCAATGTCGTCCGGGCAAATAAGGTCAATATGAACCAGAATTTTCTATTGGGATGACATGTGGTACACGAGTTCCAAAATATGAGAAACAGGGGCTACCATGCCAGTTGCCTCAATGGCTTTTCCCGGCCCCGGTTCCCCAGTCCCCTGCGAGAGGCCCCCTGTTGTTTTGCTTGGCTTGTTGTTGGAACGGTTTCCCTTAGATCGGCCAACAGAACACTTGTTTGCTTTTTTCCCGCAACCAGACAGCCAACCACACCAACCAACCACCCACCAACCGACCGACCAACCAAACTGGGCCGGTGAGAGTCGTTCTTTGTCTTCAAAAAGTCGCGCAGGGGTATAGAGAAAAGGGCCGTCAAGCCGGCGCTGGAACAGCACCCCAAGAGGACCCCTTCAAACCCTAAGTCTTTTTTCTGCCAGATGTTCGCTCCGAGCATGAAGCGCCCAAGCATATATTTTTATATATAAACATATAGGAGATCTCAGAATCTTTAAAGAAGCCTGCGCAACTTGGCAAGGAGTGCACAGTTTGAAAGGACCTGTCCGCTGAAGGGTACGGGCTTGTCAGTTTGCCTGAATTCAAAGATTAGAACTAGAGCTGGATTCCGGTCACTTGGTTCCGCCTTTTGGAGGGTTTCCCTTTATTGCCAGTCACTGGGCAACTGGGGTCGCCCTTCGAGAATGCTTAGTATGCAGTCACACCATGCAACTCCGCATGCCCCTATTGCAGCTGGCCACGGGAAGGTGAGAGGCATCAGTATTTGTGTCTCATTCAGGTATAAGTTTGTGCTGATGCCTAAGCAGAGTTTGGTGTCTGCCGCGAGCGAAGCTCTCGATATTGCAGGTCGGGAGCACTAGAGCCCTACCAAATCTTCCTTGTTGTTACCATTGTTGGTTCACTTACACTAGAGTTTCCAAATGGGTGGTGTTTTGGATGCTCTTTAAACCCGTTCCAAACAGCATACCAACTCCAAGAAGACAAACTCATATTCTGGGTCAACTTTTGGTAACATCTTGCATGTTTGCCCTACATCATGGCGGCGCACAACCATACAGCAACGGCTCAGGCAATGGCCTCCAAGCAGATCCAGAAGCTTACAGAGGTCAGCTGGTGCAGTGCCCCGTTTTGTGTCAGAAGTAGGGGCCTGCCCTTCTTGGCATCCCCTCGAAATTGGTGAGACCATGTGTTTGAGTGCAAAGAATGGCTCACTGGACGAAAGCCGATTTTTCACCCTTTGTTTTTCATCAACCTGATTTGTCCACCTCCTTTGGGGAGCTGAGTTGGGGGAGTTTCAAAACAATACCCAAAAGCTTGCAACGTAGACCTCAAGTGTCCACAGATCCAAATCGCCTTAAATGTTATCATGTAGCTGATAGCAAACACAACAGATGCTGCAGGGTGTTGCGTTGGGCAGCCCGGCCAATAGGCCAGCAATAGGGCAGTAAATGAAGATGGTTAATCGGGGATGAGGGGGGGGGCCGCCCTTGCAGGAGGGTTATGAGTTTGTCAAATCGTGTTTTTGCACAACGTGAAGTTGTTGTTTTCTACAGTACACTTGATGTTTTTCGGCTTGGTCATGTTTTGTTTTGTAAAAAAAAGCACCCCGGGCCCCTTGACTATGTTGGCAGAGGTACTTGCAGCAACATTTAAGATGGTGTCTGTTCCCAACTCGACAGGTTTGGAGTTGTTAGATTTCATTTAAGTGACATGCAACCTCCACAACCAGATCGCCCGACAGAGCCTGTAACAGACAGCTGCGACAAAGCCTGTGACAGACAGATGTGACAGAGCCACAGGGCCTATGACAGACGATGTGACAGACCCGAAGCCTGAGGCTCCCGCCAGTGGCAGGGCCAGGACGGCTGTACTTCATTCTGCTCAGCTTCTCGAGACCAGGTGGAGGGACAAGAGGCCCGCCTGAAGAGCTGGAACTGAAGGCTGGCATCAGTCACAATGGCACGTTTGGCTGCATGGCTGAGAATGCCCAGTGTTTGCGAGCTTTCCGCCGCAAGTGCTGGTGCTCTGCTCGCTGTCGTAGAGCAGCCGCCGACTAGCTTCACAGAGTGAGATGTTGAGCACGCCTGCAGCACGGGAGAAAGCGTGGCATGTCTGGGACGATGGTTGGAAGTATGTTACTGTTCGTTTTCTGGGGGGGGGGGGTTGGGGGGAGACGGGCATTGGCATCCCAAACTGAGAGGCAAGCCGGATTCCTAAATGCGCTTGGGTGAAAATAGATGGCACAATCCCCCATGTTGATTTGGTCATCCTCCTTACTTGCGTAAGCAACAGTGTGCCTAGCGCCGCCTACTTTGAGCCTCGTGTTTCGAGAGTTTTTTAAAAGAGGTTGGTAGGGATTGCGGCAGAGAATTCCGTAGCACCTTCGAAGACCAAAGCTTGCTAATGTTGACCCCGTATTAGTATGTAACCCCCCCTCACCCCCCCCTCGAAGGTCGGGAAGGTTTTGGGGGGCAAAATTTTGGAAGGTTTTTTGCCACCACCCCTAAATAATCTGGAGTTGAGTTTCTATGATTTAGTATTGCTGGAGCTTCCTTTTGAGATCTGGAATTGAGTTTCCATTTGATTTAGTATTGCCGGAGCTTCCTTTTGAGATCTGGAATTGAGTTTCCATTTGATTTAGTCTTGCTGGAGCTTCCTTTTGAGATCTGGAATTGAGTTTCCATTTGATTTAGTATTGCTGGAGCTTCCTTTTGAGATCTGGAATTGAGTTTCCATTTGACTTAGTATTGCTGGAGCTTCCATTTGAGATCTGGAATTGAGTTTCCATTTGACTTAGTATTGCTGGAGCTTCCATTTGAGATCTGGAATTGAGTTCCCCTTTGAATGAGTATTGCTGGAGCTTCCTTCTGAGATCTGGAATTGAGTTTCCATTTGATTTAGTATTGCTGGAGCTTCCTTTTGAGATCTGGAATTGAGTTTCCATTTGATTTAGTATTGCTGGAGCTTCCTTTTGAGATCTGGAACTGAGTTTCCATTTGATTTAGTATTGCTGGAGCTTCCATTTGAGATCTGGAACTGAGTTCAGTTGATTTGGTATTGCTGGAGCTTCCTTTGGGGGGTGGGGCTGATGGACCGCACTAATTAAGGGGGGGATTATTATTTGGGGGTGTTAGGGGCCAATGTGTGGTGCTCTTTGAAACCTTCTAAACTTGATTTGCTTAGTAAAGAATTTAATAAGAAATCAACCATCTCAGAACACTTTTTGTTTGTGGTTTTGGCAGGCCCAAAAGTATCCACCAAGCTTCAAGATAAGAGTAGGAGGTGGAGATGAGAGCCCTAAGCAAGGCAGCAGCATGAAGAGAAAGGTACCAGAAGAAAGCATGAGCCCATTTGAGACAAAGCACCTTTTCAGCACTCCATTCAGACAAAGCATGGCAAGCAGCATGAGTCGATTCAACATCAGCAGCATCAGCTAGCACCAAAAGACAGTTTACATTGTAATGAGCTCAAGAAGCAGTGGAGAAAATGAGATAGCAGCAGCCATCTGGGGAGGGACCGGTCTAATTGGGGGGGGGTTGTTTTGGATTCTTTTTTTATTGAGGGGGGTTTTTCTGAGATATGAATTGTTTAGTATTGGGGGGGGTCACCCGGACCGGACTAATAGGGGGGGGGATTATTAATACGGAGTCAACATTACTAAACACCCAGCAGACAGTTCTCAAAGGGAACCAAGGTGCGTTGTTGGAGGTTTAACTGTATTGATCAACTCAAGCATTCCAATCCCCGGGCCAACGAGTGATTGGGAATTGCACCCAACGCCATTCCGGCCTTCTCGCGCTGACTGTCAGGTGGTCTCTGACCTGCACCCACGTCGGGAGAGCAAAGAGCTGTCTGACGTGCCTGGGCGCCCAAAGGCTTGTACCTGTAGTGATTAGTAGTTGTTTGTCAATGTAGATGTTTGTGGTTGTTTGTAGTTGCCTGTAGGTGGGAGTAGGTGCTTGTAGTTGGCTGTAGTTTTTTGTAGTTGTGTGCAGATGAGAGTCCCTTCCAGTGCAAATTCATGCTCCAGGTACCCAGTTTGTCCGTTGAGAGAAAGGGTAAGTTAGTCTTAGCTGCCCAGACCGCCGACAGCAGAGCATGAATCAAGGCTCCCTACATGTCCCCCGTTCCTAAAGACTCAAAAGCCTGCAGATTTGCCGTGCCCTGGTGGAAACATCGTGTTTTTGGGGATATGCCACGAAAACATTGTTTTCATCACAATCGATACTCTTCAGGCCATGCCCAGCTTTTCTGCGACCATGCTTGCACACTCCAAACGGGCATGCCTTTCAAACATGGGCACTGGAGCACTGGAGAAGGCTTGTGTTGGGGGTATATTAGGGTATATTGTCAGGCATGGCCCATATATGACCCGCGAATGCTCCATTACCACATTATACAGGGTGTGCAAGAAGAAAAATAGACGCCAAACTGCAGGCCCTCATGTTGCATGTGTAGCCTGGACTGGGCAGGCGGTTTGGGGAAAACCGCCAAGCACGACCCTTTTGGAAGGCTTTGGCGGGGGAAAGTTGGAGACCCCGTGGAAATGGGGAGAGAACCCGTGGAATACCCAGAGCAACCCGTGTTTTTCACCAAAACATTGTGTTTTCAGAAAACATCGTGCTTTGGAACCCGTGGCTAATCTGAGGCGAAGCCGAGGTATCCCGTGGGAAAGATATGGGTTCTGGGGGCCCCCGCCGACTGACAAGTATCAGTGAGGTTTCTGTTTCCCTCTTGACGCTGCCACTCAAATTTGTTCCACATAATTAGCAGGTGTCCTGACCTAACTTTGCAAAATCAGGCACCTTCCAGCGCTTCCCCTCAGATTATCTGAAGGGTCTCGAGCGTGCCCTAGCTAGCTCCTCCAAGGATTTGAAAAAGGAGAGTTTGTTGGTTAAGAAAACGAGGTCCGCCGAGGGACGGCGGATTTTGGAGGGTCATCAAGCAGGAGGCGGTGAAGAATCCTGCCCAGACAGATCCGTGGATCGCGGAGGAGTGGGAGGTCTCGCCTCACGAGGAGGGAGTCCTCGCGAAACCAGATGTGTCAGATCCTGGGCAGGGTGGCCTCACTACCGCCTTTGGGAGAAGTCGGTGCACCGCTGGGGCAAGGTCACGGACGTGCAGCGTGGTGCCGAGCAGACATCTTTTGGATTAGGATCTTCAAGGGCGTTTTGAGTACCTTTCGGAGAAGAAACTCGCAGGCGCGCAGTGCCTGGAGACCATCTTCAAAGTTCTAGATGTGCTAGCAAGTGACGTGAAGGAGCAGCGAAACGAATTTTATTGTGCACAGGCGTGTCTTTTGAAAGTCTGTGTACTTCCTGCAAATCACTCTATCTGAAAGCCTTGTGTTTCCAAAGGCACATTGTGTGTGTGTGTGTGTTTGTTTTTTGGCGGGGTATGGCATTTCTAGCAGTTTTCGGGTCTCCGGGTTTCAAGGTTTTAAACATCACTGGCTGAGGCAATGTAAACTGAGTTTGTTTCCAGTGGGATGGTGTTTTGTGATTCCCACCATCGCGCGCAAAGCCACAGGTTGGAGAAGAAGGTGGACCAGATGGTGGAGGAGAAGTTGAACAGGTTGCTGGACGAGGCGGGTTGGCGCTCCGTTGGCGTTTGTTCTTTTCTGCTTTTTTGTTTGTGGCCTTTTTGAGGTACCTGTAGAGGACCCAAGGAATCAACACCCTTGTTTCCATTTTAAAATCACAGCCTTTTGTTTTGCGTTATTTTTTACCACATTGGGTAGCAAGATTGGTCAACACCGCCAGAGGGGGGGAGTTCCTGCAGTGAAGTGTGTTGACAGAGGTCCTGTTTGCATCGGGGATTCATTGAAAGCGAAGAATCATGTTGTTTTTGTTTGATCCTTCCCCTCGCAGTTGCCAAGCTTTGGAAAGCATTGTAAATGGTCGATCTAAATTTCAATTCTGCGGGCACACCGCGATCTGTTCAGCAACTGGTTGATGCAGGGCAAGTTCTAAGCTCTGGTAAAACGAGGTGATCATGTTGAAGGTCCTTTACTCTTACTTGAACAAGTCCGAACCGAGTAAAACATCCCGCCAGCTCGGGATAGCAATTGTCCCATGCTCGAGCAGGTCTGTTTGGTGTCCATGTTTTTTTCGATACGACCTGCTGGCTGGTGTTGAAAAGAGCACGGAAAGGAAGCCACCCCGAGTTTGGGGTCCACTAATCCAATTTCAGGAAGGAGAATGAAGGTAACTGGGGGGCATGCAGCGTTCAGTGCCCGATTGAGAGACCTGACTGAGAGGGACTCTTGGAGTGTTTTGCGCGGGTCGGAGGACTTGCGCCGGGCCAAGATTGCTGCGGCCAAGGCCGAGGCGCGGCAGCTGATTGACTTTGGGCACGGTCCCTCGCACAGGTCATGAGGACAACACATTGGAGGCTCATGGCGTTGGTTAACCCAAACCTAAAAGCTCTTGTATTTTGGGTTGAGATCTTTCGGTTTCGCCCCTTTGCGAAATTGAAGATCCGAAACATGCTTTGGCCAGAAGGCAGCAAAAGCATGCTTTGTCAGTGCTTGGAAGAAGATCATAACACTTGGTTCGGGATGCTTTGACTACGGTCTTGAAAATTGGAGAACGGGCTGCCCTTCTCAGTTGTTTGAAGGCTTTATGTCCGTACAGAGGTTGAAATCAAGTCACATTCTCAACAGGTTCCTTTGGTTTGCTTTCCACGTTGGTTGTTTGGACACGCTGTCGCAGAGGGAATGGTGACCAGAGCTGTTTTTGGCAAGGAGCCATCTGCTTGTGGGATGCGTGCAGGTTCGAGGGGTGGCTCAAGTTGTGTTGCAATAGTTTGATCGGGCGCGTGGGGATTCCTTGAATGGGTGTGGCGTTGTCGGATCGTACCTTTTTATTGGTCGTTTTAAAGGCAAAGTAAAGCAAGAGGAAAACCTTAATTTTGAGGGTATCATTTGTGGGGGGGGGGGTCTTAAGGAGAAACCAAATGGGCACCACCCATTGTTTGGGATCGCATTTATTATGACAGACCCAAATGAGTGGTTCCCATTCGACATATCCTTCAAGACCGTGGACCCACCAGCTGCCGCAAGTCATACAAACTACGTGTCAATGGATGGATTTGGACCTCATAAAAGCTTGAAACGAGGTACCAATTTGTTTAAGCTCTGTTCTTGTTCCTCAGCCTGTCGGCTGTGCGAGAAGCGAGCGCTGCCTTGTTTGCGAGGCATTGCAAGTCAAGCGGATTGCTCTTCCTTTTTCTCAAGGAAGTTGACCCAAGTATGCTCCCGGTGCCTTCTGTGAGCTAACGAAACGGTACCCACAAACATCAACGGACATCGATCTCCCTTTGTCAGGGAGCAATTCCACGTTTGAAGAACAGTTTGTGAGAGGAAACGTGCCCCTAAACATCATTTGCCAACAGAATGCAACTCAGAGCGTGTGCATAGCGCTTCACACAAGCCCTCCTCGACGAATGTGCGGCAGGGATTTGAGCTTTGTTTGGATCCGAGAGACCGAAATGAATCGTTTCCCTTCGGTTGTCCTTTGCAACAAGACAGAAGGCACCTCGCAAATAGGCACGCATGTAGGAAATAGGGAGCTGTAGAAAAGATCATTTCTTGGGGTGGAGCAAGATGCACTGGCAGTCGGCATTACCCAGTCATGAAGGGCACAGGGCCCGTCCTAGTCTTGGTGTGCCCTGCAGGCCCTTTTCCCTCATTTCAGAGGGTCACTTGGTACCTTCTGAAAATGTTGTGTTTTCTCTTTTGTTGTTGTTTCTCTTCTTCTTCTTTTTTGGGTGGGGGGGGTGGGGGGAGGAAGAAGGGGTCCAAGTCCAAGTACCTATATCGGCAAATATTCCGGTTCTCCGCTCATCGAGTCTGTGAGGCACGCCAGTCTGAGAGTCGAGATGCGGAGCTCTAGGCTGCAGGAAGTTGATCCAACCAGACCAGAACCAACCTGATACTTCTTAGTGAAAACAAGCGCCAAAATGAACCAGATGGCACAATGTCCTTGTCAGGGGGGGTGCATGAGACTGGGAAAATGACCCAACTGTACATTTGCAGCTTTAATTCCCACCGGAAAGGGGGTCAGCATCAAAGGGGCTACACTTGGACCCACCTCAGATTCCCCGAAGTTAATTTGCGATGTACAGTTGCTGTTGTTTCAGGAGTAAGCATATGGGTGTATCTTTTTTTGAAGCCCCCCCCCCCCCTTTTTCTTCCGCAAAGAAAGCCCATGCATTTGTGGTAGTCCCTTTAGAAAATCAAAAACATACCCACATTGCCAGGAGCAAATGGGCAAATCGGATGTTTTCGAGAAGTGTGAAGTCGGCGGATGGACTCAGACCGCGCCTGAAAACGATGACCGCGGGCGGCACCGTTCGCAAGCAGCTTGGTGCGACCAAAAGAAAACAGCCTCAAAGACATATTATATATAATTATATATATATACACGTATAGATTGTTTTATATATATATATATATGTTGACCGGTTGCTTTGAACACTGCCATGCCGAGGAATTCTGCGCCAGGCTTCATGTTGTCCCGAGAAAGGAAAGCTCTTTCTGGGTTTCATGCCCAGCTCGGGCCAGGTTTGCACGAACCTGTTTAGGCCCTCATTTGAAGCAACAGTGTAAAGACGTGTCCTTCCTTGAGCAGCCATGGTGGCAGAAATCAACCCTCTCGGGAAGCTCTGATATGATGTCACATTGGAACCATTTTGTTTTGGTAAGACATGCTTTGCATTCAGCGGCAAGAGCTCTCGGTGAGGGCCAACGGGTTGCCTGACGTGCCGTCCTTCGAAGGCTCAAGTTTGAAGTTCGGGGCTGTGGCTTCCGATGCTTCGCGAGGCGCAGAGGTCCCAGTTCTGCCGCCTGTAGCATCCCTTGATGGCTGGTCTTTGGGACCGAATGGCCCCGTCATCCTCAGACTTTGGGGAAACAAATCGCTTTTTGCTTGACCCTAATGTTAACGTCGGATCAACACCCCCCCCCCCCGCCCCGAGCCGAGGTCAAACCTCAGACTAGACGCAGGGGGTCGTGGTCTGTGGGAGAAGATAGATGAAGATAGCAGGTGGTCGCTCCGGCATCGAGGGGCATTGATGATTCTCAATTGGCCCGGAATGGAAATCAGTTGTTTTCTGGGTGAAATTGGTTCTGCCAGGCTTTAGACTTGTTTCATATTGGATCCCGAAAGCGTGCCTTAGTAATCGGTGGTATTTACTGCAATGTAAAAAAGAAGAAACACAAATCGACCTTTTGCTCAGCGCGTGGAGCAACCCTGTCTATGTTTGTGACCTCCACAATTGGTCAACCCAAGGATTCCAACTCTGGCTTTGGGGGGTGAATATATCCAAGGGTTTGATTCTGAATTCGACTGCCAGCTATCCCTAAACCTTGCAGGTACCCTTTGGTGTTGCTGTGGAAGGTGCCGAGGGACCCTCAGGGGGTATGATTCAATGTCAATTGGATCAAGCTCGTTCACGGCTGATTACCGAATCGAGTCCAGGAAGGTCTTGTCGGGGTCCAAACGTTTCTGTTTCGGATTTGGTAAGTCGCCCAGAAGAGTCCGCAAGACCTCAAACTGCCTGCACAATTTGGAATTTGCTCATGATATTTATGGGGTAGTCTGCGGACTCGACGGTTGTGTTACCTCGATATTCTCATCTCATTGCAGTACAGCTTGCAGTACGCCATTCGCTGTCGCTTCTGTTTGCTTGGCTCAGGCAAGCATGTTGACGTCTTCAGGCTAGAGGCGGGGACATGAAAAGCGGGTGCAAAAGTTGCAGTTTGTCAAGCTTGATGAACACCCCGGAAAATCTTGTGCCTCTACGTTCCTCTCCATCCGGAAACATGAATGTTCGGTTGGAACAGGGGGTTGGCACCTGAAGTATATTAAAGGTCAAGTACCTTCTAAGGCACACCACACACCGTCGTCAAAGGGCACCCAAGGACCGTTCGCTATTTGTTTTAAAAAGACGACCCGTGAAAAGCCTACATGAAACCTAATTCACGCCTTTCGCCCAACGTCTGTTGGGCTGAAGCCCTCCCTCATTTCTGAGATCCCAACTAAGCCATCCGAATTTGGCCCTGCCTCCACTTTAGGATACTTCCAAAAGGCCTAGCACTCAGCAATGATTCTTGTCAAGGCGCGTTTTGGTGGGCAAATTGGGACAAAAAGGGTGGGCAAAACATTAGCAAGCTGGTTAGTTCTTTGTTGGATGAGCTCGGAACTTGCAGCTTTGCGCGTTGCTTTTCTAGGATAGTTGGCCGCGCCCTCTCACCAGCAACCTCAGTGCGCGAAGCCATGCGCAAGACACTTGCCAAGCGGGCGGAGGAGCTGCTCTGTTTCGGTACGATTGTTCAGTTTGGTTCCATTGAAGCGTCACAGTATGGATTAGCTAGGAGAGCCAAGATGTTGATGTTACCCAAAAGGAACCACACGGGTATGCATAGCTGTTCAATTCAGCCAGACCCCCTATTCATGTTTCCACCGCTTAGGGATCCTTGTTGGACAACCCATTGGGCAATTCAGACTGGCTGCTAAACCACCTGCATCATTTTGTCGATCCCTATGTCCAAGTTTGGTATGGACACAATGCACCACTTGGCAGGTTTTAGTCCCCGTAGTCACATTGGGTGTCGTCCATGGCACGAAGTGAATACTGCTCGTCAGAAGGGAGTAGGTGAAACTCGATGGAAGTCTGGGTGGCTCCGACTGGCTTCATAAACAGATGGAAATGTCCTACCGAAGCAATGCGACGATGCAGATATTGCATATAGCCAGACTTGATGTGGATCCATCTTGCTTTGCCGCGATTTCCTTGGGCGATACATGTTCCTGGACCCTGAAACTACCGATACAAACTAACAATGACAACGCTTTGTTGCCCCACCACTACAGTGTGGTGTCCTGGTACCTGGACCCTCAGACGACCCTTCTACAATTGGACATCATCTCACATCGGTTTGGGCGACAACCCATGTTTCAGGGTACCCTCCCCATCACGGAAGCTGACAGGGTTCTGGACGACTTTCCTCGGGGAAGCCTCCTGTCCAGCTCGAGTTTCGACGCCTGCCTCATGAGCCTCACGTTTCCAGGCCTGCGAGGGGCCTCTCCCGGGGGTGTGAGTGGACCAAATCCATATCTTGCACTGATGAATCCCTGGAATGAACCGATTTCCACGTAAATACTGATAAACAATGGTTTCAACCATGGTTTCCAAGTGGTGCGGGAGTTGGTCCACCCAATGGGTGGACTCTTGCCAACCGCATTTCTTATTGCCCTTGGGGATTCCTTCTGGCTTCCCATGGCTGGACTGACGCTCAGGAATTTCAGAGTTCCTTCTTCGCCACTGAAATGACCCAAGCTTGAACCCATTCAATATGGGATACATGGACAGGCCATGGTGAGTCATCCAGGGCTCCAGCCAGTCGCAGAAAGCAGGCACATTGATCCTTCGCCTTCCAACAGGAGGACTGGCTTGTTGCTCTGAGACTTGCCGTGCTCCCCCCAAGTGAGTGTTCGCCGGTTTGAGAAAACTTGCCAAGTGCGACATGGTTCGCAGTCAGGCCAAGCTGATGAGAATTCAGGTGATTGAGAGATGAGATACGGGTGTGTTGGAACAACGCCCATGGTTTGCAGGGCCTGAACCCCATTGATGGCTGCGTTCATTTTCCAGAGATTGGCTCGAAGCTGAACAGCCACGAGATAGCTTATGTTTGTCAGAACTGGCCTATCATGTGTAGTCAGTGGACAAACACTTCAAGCTGGTTTGTTCTGTATTGCCTGGGCATGGAAATTGTCCAGCATGTTTGCTTCCTGTTGTGCAAGCACATCAGCAAGCAAGTTTTTTCCTGCAGTTCTGAGCTAGAAGCGCTCGTGCTTTCCGGGCGACCTGACTGGTTTGCTTGTCTCACCAGAGACCTGAATGCGCAAAGCCATGCAGGTGTACCGAGTGGGAAGAGCTGCTCCATTTTGCTGCCTTCACCCGATTGGAGGGTTCGCGATCTGAAGAGGCACAGCGGACGCTCTGATTCCTGAGTGTCGCTTTCAGAGGGGCGTGAAGCTGGATCCGTCTTCTAAGTTGAGTGCGCTGGGCGTGCAAGATCAGCATTTCTGCTTCCACAGAGGGAGCATTCGCACTTCATGTCACAGCAGGCCCAGTGCTAGCATGGGCCAACCATGCCTTCCCGAGATGCAAGACCGGTTGCGGGTCCAGCACATCCAACTTACCCAGTCTGCGTTTGCCGCCTTTTTGTACGACGGCTCTGCGGTGAATTGGGGTAATCCAGAGGATGGCGGTGACAGCTGGGTGTTGTCACCGCCGTCCTCCGGATTGCCCCAAGTCGCTACAGAGCCATCGTCGAAAATTGCAGCAAAAGCACTGCAAGTTAATTGAACCTGGTGAACCCTCAACAATAAGTACTCTTGCAGCCAGGTTCAAGAGCAGCTGTTGGAGGTTCGGCAGATCCAAGCAACTGATTGTGCCTTTGCTGCCATCCTGGCCGGCAGCTTTGTGGTGACTTGGGCCGTCCCTTGGTGGTGACAGCAGCCAGGTACGGGAGCAGTTGGAGAGGGTTCAGCAGATTCAATCAACTGGGAGTGGTTTTGCTGCTATTTTGCAGGACCGCTCTGTGGTGACTTGGGGCCATCCAGAGGATGGCGGTGGCAGCTCCGGGACGAGAGCAGTTGGCGCGGGTTGAGCAGATCGAAGCAACTTGTTCTGCCTTTGCTGCCATCCTGCAAAACGGCTCTGTGGTGACTTGGGGAAATGCTCAGGATGGTGCAGCAGCTGGCTGCCATTCGAGATGAGGTGCAAGAGCAGATAGTGCAGGTCCGGCAGGTCCAAGCGACTTCCTCTGCTTTTGCTGCCATTTTGTATGGCGGCTCTGCGGTCACTTGGGGGGTGACGGCAGTCA